GATTACAACTGGCTCACTCTCAGCTTACATAATGGTTGGGGTTTTGGTTATGTTCCCCTTGAAAGACCAGATGCTGTGATTTCATCAGCCACAAACAGGACAGGACAGCTGCCTGGGTGCCAGGAATATGAACAATAATGATTATATTTCAGTATGTCATTCCAAGAAGACATTAGCATGAAGACTACCTTTAGCAATCAGGAGTTTTCACAGTGATCCTCTGTAAATTATGGACAGCCTATCAATGAAGATGGCCTATCAGTAGAAGACTACTGGCACTTAACTCTCTCTGGATTTTTTAATTTCAGTAACATAGCCTAATGAATGGAGAATGTGGCAGATTTTGATTTCAGAACTAACATTAGCATTGACTGAGTCCTCAGCAAATCAAGGGGCTATCCTCTCTCACCAAAACTGATAGCCCAACACTTCCTTAGACAGCTTATGCGAAAATTTTGTACGGGTTAAATTTTTTTTTCATCTCTAGTATCTAAAACAGATTAATCACAATCAATACACCAGGTTTTTCTAACTCCCTGCTTATCTTGGATGTAGAAAGATCTCCTTTAAAGCAGTTTTATACAGCTTGTTATTTAGCTTACAGAGTTAAGATCATCACAAAGTGGACTTTATTACCAAAGAAGGCTTCTTGTCACACACAGGAGTTAACATGATTGCACTAAAGTAATTTCATTTACATCTGCAAATGAAAGCCCAATCTCTTATTCATATTAAAATTTTCTGTACTCATTGAGAAAAAAGCAGCTTGTTCTCCCCATTCCCCTCCATCAGATGAACCACAGCAGTTAAACACAAACTCTAGCCCATCACTTAGGTTGATGCATTTGATTTGTGTTTTTCCTGAATTGCTGAGAATAGTTCAGTTTTATGGGATACAGCTGGAAAGGCATTTGGTGTTAAATAGAAATTCATCATTTATTTTTTCAACACAAGGTGATTTGGTGATTTTTTAAAAAAAATTTTCAAAGAGCTGTAAAAAGTGTAGAAATATGAGTATGTGGAAACTACTGATGTAAACTAATGTGTGACATAGCTAAACAACCATTCTTCCTCATTTACATAGACATTTTTTAACTGGAGAAATTCTATTAACATCTGTAGTAAGAAAACAGAGAACTGCTAGTACTGCATGACCACATATTTCCACTGCAAGTGGATGTCAGTATCTTGGGAAGGTGAAAAACCCCAGAAATTTCAGCAACTCAGATATTATGAACTGGATTACAGCCAGGAAAACAACATATAACTTGTCTGTTAATGCATGAGTATATGAGGTGGGAGTGGGGAAAAGGAACAAGAAAAGATAACTATTTAAGATTTGGTTTTCATTACAGGAACTTCTGGGTCCCACATGGAAGGATTTCACTGCAGTTCTACTTACTCACGCAGACAAGGCAGAAGAGGCTGGATTCAGCGAGGAAGCATACTTGCACAGTGCCTCAAGTACCCTCTTGTCACTTTTGACCTCAGTACAGAATAAATACATTTTCCTAGACAACCAGAAGAGCATAATTAAGGAAGAAAGAGATATTGTCTTAAGAAAGCTCTTGAACTTTATCAGACAAAATAATTATCAAGCGCTTCCTCTACTTAAACACAGCAAGGAATTAAATTAGTGTTCAGGTGCTCATTTATCTATTTTCTGTGGTAGGTAACATTTAACAGAAGTAAAAGAGTAGAGTAGAAGCCATCAACTGAAAAATCCCACATCCATACCAGATACTTCCAACTCTGTGTTTAAAGGTATCTCTTTAGATTACCAAACTACTTGCCTTTCATACAGTACCTCACACTACTGCATCCAGAATTCTAGCTTCAACCAAAAAAATCAGAACAAGCTAGTGCTCTAAAACACGGTCCTAATATGTATGTAGTCACAAATGAGATTTTACACTATACCAGACTGTGTATTGCAGTTCATACAGAACACAGATCTGGAAGAAAAAAAAAAAGGTAAAAAATGCACAAGAGTTCAGAATGTAAGGGAGCCTCGTTGCCCAATTCTTCAAGCTTTCAGAAATTCCTCTGAATTCCACAGGTTGTAAAGATCTTTGTAGTATTAAAAGCTAGGATTTATCTACTGTAAAAGTATTTCCTTACCTTGATTCAGGATCAGTTAGAATTGAGATTTTGAATTTCAAGAATTTTGTTTAATAAGACATTATTGAATTACAAGGCAGATAAAATAGCTCCCATGTGCTAAATACTATTCAGCACATTTAAAAGAACTAATTACTATTGCTTATTCCTAGATGCATGAAAAATTAAGACAGTTTATAGGCACATACAAAACTCATTCAAAAAAGAAATCTGTTGATCTGTTCTTTTGCAACTGTTCCTTTTAATTTTATATCACTGTCATTTTGCTTTTTCTCCTAGTTTACTGGATGAAGTTCAGAGCCTGCAAAATTCAGAGTGGCTAAGTTTTTCTTTTTTTTACAGTGGTTAAAAAAAGCACTTAATGTTTCAGTGGTTAGACAGTAACCAGTTAATTAAATATTATATGCCAAAATAACTGAAGTATCTCTAAATAGTTACTTAAAAGGTTTATTGAAAATTGATCTAAAATATTTATTTTCAGATTATTAAAAGGCAGGATTAAAAGAAGTAATTTCAAGCCATTACCATAGCAATCATGACTACTTGTACTACATTGTTATGGAGTAATTCTAATCGTAAAAACTGAAGCAGCTACTTCTGTTAAAACCAAAGCATCTTTTGTATAAAATATCATTGCATAAAAATACATTAAAACAAAAAATCCATTCATTTTATACCTGTTTGGGCACTGGAAATGGATCTTTGTTTTGTTAGTATTTGATGAGCTCTGGCAATCTATTTCCCATTTATTCATTCCTCTTTGGAAAGAAATATCTAGGTGGACTAGATAAAGAACTATTTTAGCAAAGTGACAGCTTTGATCTTACTGACATTATAACAGCTTAACTGTGGGACATGAAAGTATGTCCATTTGTATATTTTAGGGCATAAAGGGCCATAGTTTAATCTTCCCATTACAATTGTCTGCAGACTACTGAGACAACACAGCCAAGCACAAAGTTGCACAGGCTTATAATATATCTGAAAACTGCTTGGAAGAAGAGGAGAAAAACTATTAAAAGGTGACTAGAAGAATGAAGACGATTGTGGTCTTCACTGACCAACTGCTAGTCCTGCACCCCTTGAAGAGCAGTTAGCACACAAGGAACATCGCAGAAATATTTCCTTATTGAGATGCTCTTGCTCCATGGATCTTTTAAACCTTTTAGCTGTCCAGAAAATACACTTGCCTGCCTGTAGTTCTACCATGAACAAGCCTTGGCCATTAAGTCTTGAGCACTGAGTGGTTAATAACTGTTGACAACACTTAACCTCAAGGACAGTAAGCATGCTGAATGAGTGAATTGTGAAAATGTTGGAGGCATAACACATTCTGTACCTCTGGAATAGGAGTCAAACAAAAAAGGTATTAGCCATGCATTTCGGAGGGGTAATATATTGATGGTTTTTTATTATGCTTGCATTACTTTCCATTTCAACATCTGAAAAAGCTTCTAATAACCATTTATTTATTTAATTCCACTGTTTGCCATGGTCTCTGCCCTGCAGACTCCTTTCCCTTTTACTTCAAACGGAACTCCTTTGTACGTGGCAACACACTGGTCATTGGTATGAAGATCAGGTTGGATTTGCTCCCAAATCTTCTTCTTCGGATTAAGTTCCTTCTCAGGATCTCCTGTTTCAAAACAAAGAATAACCAAATAGCACACAACACAGAAGGCAGAGCAAAAGCCCTATGTATGTACACATTTGTGACAGCCCACATAGCATCACTGCACACACTTTTAAGGGAAAAAAACATTACCTGTGATTCTCAAAATGAAAATTTTAATCGGAATTAGTGATTGCCTAAGAAATGTCTCCAGAGCCTCTCTCAGAATGCTGATCTTTCAGGGGAAAAAAAGTTGTGAGTAACAGACCACAAATACCATCAAAAGGAAGAAATCAAACCATTGCTACTTGTTGGTTTACAAAATTTACTACAGACCAAAAGGACTCCTAAGAATTAAGTAGATGTGGACCACAGAAATACACTACTCGCCAAGACACAGGTTTGTCAGCATCTTAAGTTTAGGAATTAATACATTTTTATAAGCAATTAATATTAAGTGAATTTGGCAGGTGCCCTTACAGTTGAGAAATATTGAACTTAGACAAGAATAGTCCAAAATCAAGATACTGACATTTAATTTTAGCCCCAAGTTTCAACACTGTTCTGCTACTTTTTGTACTATTTGATGACAAGCTCTGGTGCCTAAAGTAACAGCAGCATTAGAGGTCAGCTTGTATTTCAGCAATTATGGCCTCAGTCTCTGTAAGTCTCAGTTCCCTGTTTCTATGTGTACACCATGATAATTACCTACGCCCTAGAGGTACTGACAGTCTAACTACATTAGCAAATCTGACTATTTAAGGATCTCTAATGACCACAAAACACAGTTTTCTTCTACTAATGTTTTGAAAACTATTAACAAGTTACATAGAATAGTGAAGTATTTCAGAGCCATATTTTTCCTATTTTTAAATAGGCATGAAATGCAAAGTACAGGGAAAAAAACCCAGCTAAGCTAAATAAGGTCTCTTGCTGTAAAAATACTGAATAAACTGCTGCCTGCTGACATAATCTAGATAAAGACAACCAATTCACTGTACAATTATTTTTGGTTCAAAGGTCAAGTAAATTTAATCTCTTAATTCTAATACAATGCAGATTCTCTTAAAGAAAAAAAGATATTTCATTAAAGAAGTTATTTAATCATAACACTGTTGGGTGCTCTTGACCTCTTGTGTGTAAAACAGGCAGGACAAAAAAAACCCTGACATACAAAACTTGTTTTAAATGTAACTAGAACACATTAAATGCTGAAAGGGATCCCATGCTATTTCATTGTTGATACACTGTGTATTTTTTCCTTGCTTGGAGTGCCATATTGGCACCATTCTGCCCAAACTATTAAAATATCAAGTTCCAGAACAAGCAAGAATCAAAAACCAAATCCTAGTAAACACACCCTCTTTGAGATACTTTCAGAGGAGCCAAGAGTTCCTAAAGGAAAATGAGGAGTTCTCCAAGTGAGCAGAATGTCAAATACTCTCATCTTCCACTACTCAGTGACCCCAAAGGTTCAGAAAGAAAAACTATAAGGCTACAGGGATTTTAACATAAGTGTTTCTAGTAGCTGGTTGAAATTCATTACTGCTTGGTGTATTCCTGACTGGCTGACCAACAGGCAGTCAAAACGAACTACTCTCATTCCAGCCTACCTTATTGTTTTTCTCCTTTAAATGTTTTCAGTGGTTCCATCTACTCACATTCTCAATGCTTGCAAAAGTAAGTTACTTCTACCAGGTCTAACTTCTGTAGCTTCTATGTCTGTAACTGTGTAAGAGAAGCAGACCAAGCCATATTTCTCTGTTAAGTAGGCTAGCCTTGCCAGAGCAAGCTCAATAATCCAGTCGAGTTATTTCACCACCACAGGGCACTTAATATTTAAAAGAAAAATCAGTAACACCATTAATAAATTAAACATTTAGAGCTAATTGCACCTTTTCTACAAAAATAAAAATGCTGCTCAATGCTCAAGTTCACGAACAAAGACAGACTTGGATTTAGACCAAAGTGAATGCATACAAACTAATAAAATCATTAAACAGAATGTTAAATGAACCATTGTGCATTTCCTTCCCCCTCCTCAAATATAAAAAGCACATTAATTTTTTTGAGTAAGAAACTGACTTTTACTATAAAAAACACGCTTTAGATGTCAATAAGTTTCTTTGGAATCCTGCATCAAGCTCCCTTGGGATCTGTGGTGAGCTCATATTAGATTAACAAAGGCACCAATTTTAAATACTACCAGAGCTTTAGGCTGTGCATTTTCCTATGACTTCTTCTCATTGCATTCCTTTTTCCCAGAAAATATTCTTTAGAAGCATTTCTATAAATAAAATTAAATTTAAACTTGTAATGGTTTAATGAGCTTCCCACTCTCCTTACATAAAAAGAACAAAATAAGAGGACCTGAATTTGGTTAAGTGTGTCATTCAGTCTAGCAGTTTAAATATTACAGAAGAAATTCTCATAAAAAGCAAGAAACTTCTCCACTTTGTAACAGCTCAGTAACTATTGAAAGAATCTATCTCAGCACAAGAAAGGGCAAAGATGCAATGATGTGTGACCTTATGAAAAGTTAATACCACTTAGCCCACTGTGGATTATAACTATGCAACTGAAGGAAAGCATCCATACACCAAAGCTTCGATTAAAGAAACCTGTTAAATACACACTAACCACTGCACTCCAGTTTTAGCACCTTTTTTTTTTTTTAAGAGATACTTATTAACTAAGTTGCCAGGGATTCTTAGACCAGAATGATTATCTAATTATATAACTTAAATAACAGATTTGTAGTTCCTGTGGCATTTTTGCCTTGAAGAGTTTCGTCAAAGTATCAATTATACTGCTATTAGAAAGATTTCAGAGCTACCTGTGAAAACTCCAAGAATTATCACTGTCTTACAGCAACTGCTATGTAGGAGGGTATAGTATTTACAGACATGCAATGGAATATTTTTTCTATGGCTTACAAATCAGACCTTTTCCACTGAAGGCAGACAGAAATTTGATAAAGTTCTTAATATAAAAAATGCCCAACAGATCTTGGAAGATTCATGTATTGGAGTATAAAATGGTGTTAAAGTTCGTCTAAGGGCAATGACATCAAATAAACAAATAAAAAAGAACAATCCTCCAGACAACAGCATTCCTTATCAAATCACTCCTCCATGACAACCAAGATGGTTCTAGAAAAAATCTCAAGTTTCTGCAGAAAAAAGTTCAATTGGCTTGAATCAAGATACCATTTATTTACTTTGACTAAAATGACCAAGGAAAGTTAGCCTGTATCTCATAAATATCTTGTATAGTAGAGAGAGAAGGCTTAAAAATAACTTGATTCCAAGCTGCTTAGACAGCTGTGTGTGTTTTAGAGTTGCTTTATCATTGCTGCTGCTGCTTCTTTTGCTTCTTAAGTTTTCATACTTCAAAACAAAATAAGACCCAGCTGTCCTTTCTATTTTAGTTTCAAGGACTCAAACTGAGTCTTTATTCTTTAAAATTATTCTTCAAAAAAGAAAAAATTGATCAGAATATAAATGGTTACAATTAAGCACTGAAATTGACAGCTGACATAGCAAGGATTCTACCCTCCTGATAACAGTACCAGTGAAGCGCTAGATTGCCTTTGAGGAGACAGCAGCTAAGAAGCACGTGAGATTTTGAACACAAAAAAGGTGAGCAGAAGACACAGACATACAACCCCATTAAAAATTGAGAAACAGTTTTCCAGTCTCCCCATGAGTTTCCCCCACCAAGGAATAAAAAACCCCACAAAAACCCCAAAAGACACAAAACCAAAAACACCAACAAACAAACAAACAAAACCCCCCACAACCAAAACAAAACATCAAACAGCTGTTTTAAAAGGACAATAGGAAAAAAAAGCCAAACCAAAACCCAAACCAAAAATAAGAATCAGGCCAGGGTGGCGGGACCAAACCCACCAAAAGTTGTTAATCACTTGGACAAGAAGGTGAGTGGCAACAATCTTAGTCTCCAGCTAAAAAAAAATTTTAAAAACCCTATAGCAAACCAAAACCTACCAATGAACAGTATTAATATCTTAGTTTACAAAAGCAATATGCAAAAGACATGTATGCAACAAATTAAGTTACAGAAGCAGATGTCAGAATGCTTTTGTAAGTCTCCATCCATCAATGCTTTTTTTCTTGCTTTTTCCTACTCACTTCAAGATAATAAAATCACAAGTCTTAAAATTCCTTAAAATAAGCTTTATGTAACTAGGAGATACATCACTCTACTTTGCACTATTAAGCATTAGCTATATTTTCCAAGACAATGATTAGCTTTAATCTCATACCTGCCAATTTTTCTGAGTAGCTATTTATGAAATATTAGGGAACAGCTGTCATATTTCAGACTACAATCTATAGCCCTGGATATATACGCTTTTCAGAAGGGTTGTAAAAGCCTTCATTTGGCAGTAAGAGCTCCATGTCTTTGGCTCCCTGTCAGAGGGAAACTGATATAAAGCATACAAAATCTTGTATCACAGGCTGCAGGTCATAACTTCAGAACTCATACAACTTTTACACCACCTTCAGCTTATTCTATGTCTTTTAAGAATCAAAATGTCAACACCTCAACACCTGGCAATAATTTTAAAACAAATGTTTCTATAACTGATTTGCTCTAGGAAAAGCTTTTTGCAACTGTAAAAAACCTGGAGTCAAATAGTTTAATTTTTTTGTTAAAACTTACCTCATTAGGCATATGCAAGAATAGATACGCTAGGTAACAGAGAACAGCACTACTACCAGCTCTGACATTATTTTCAAATGCCAGGTATACAAAGTTATTTGAGATACAAGGTTATGTCTTAGACAAAAACAAACAAAAAAGACCCTCCACCCCTCAAAAAAGCCACATGCTCAGGCTGACTTGTACATCATTTTGCAAGGCTTATGAACTAGAAGGGTTTACTCTACAGCTTGATGTTCTCTCTTGCACATCCATTTCCACAGCAATAGAAAGCAATATGAGTGTATCCGTGCATGTAACAGAGGTCAGACATCCAACATTTAATTTATCTTTACTCACAGAAATATGATAACTACTAGAAGTTATGAGTGGGTATTCCTACAATTTCATCAATGCAATTGCTGAAGCCTTTCAGATTTTAGTACAGGTTACCAATTCTGCATCTCAACAAGCAAGCTTGGTATAATCTTAATACAGAAAACTAAAAATGAAAAAAAATGTTGCAAGACTAATTTCCTTCTTAAACACAGTATTATTTTAAAACATTTTCAGTTAGAGTATTAAATCACAGCAAGCTGAGCTTTCCTCCTGTTTCAAAAACACCTAGATAGACCATTGCTTCCTTTATCATATACCAACGAAAATACAAATATTTTTTTTAGAGCATCACAGTTCCAAACATAAGAAATATAAAAATATCTATATATGTACAGAGCTTGCCAAGAGGTTCAAATAAAAACACTGCTGTACAGCTAAAAATTGTCAGAGGTGCAATAGCTTAAAAAGGTTAATATGTTTCTATGTAGAAAACAGAAAGCTATATCATTTTCTCACATGTGAAAGCCAACTTTTGAGGAACAAATTCATCCTGAAGATGAATACTTTGTTGATAAATGCAGACACATACAACTCCAACCAATATGGGAAATACTGGGAGTTATACCCCTTATCTTAAGATAAGTGATGCAGCGATCCTGACAAGATGACCACTGTTCATCAAGAACTTGGTGATCCACACAACAGTTGACCTGAGTAGGTCTGGGCTTGTGCTGCGCTGCACAAATTCCTGGGGCACAGGATAAACCTAGCCTGCTGATTATAACAGAGGAGCCTGCAGGCAGCTCCCATGTGGTACCAGTGAATGAGCCACCTGCACGTCCTCATCTTTATGGAGCACTGCGGCATCAAGTCCTCATGCAAACTTCCTTTCTGTTTGACAGTCAAAGAAGAAAATACCATAATAGCTCAAGTGACCAAAAGAGGGGAATATCTTCTACGGAGAGAGAGTGCACAGCATGCTGCACGTGGATCAGAAGCCTGTTTGACGCTGCACCAACTCAGAGCTCCCATAATCTGTGCGATGCAAGATTATCAATACTATTTTCTCTTTTCAGTGTCAGCTCTGATAAACAGGATTTTAAATGATAATTTACAGAATCTGAGTGCCTTTCTTACCGGGATCATAATGGGCCAGCACCTCCTGATGAAAAACACTTAAAACCATGATAGAGATAACAAAATAACAGTGCTAAAAAAGACAGCAACAGAAGCTGAATCTGACCGTATCCCTTTCAGCCTGTGAGAATAATAAACTGGCATTTGGGTAGGAAGGAAGCATTCACCAACACACTACATCTATGATGCTTATTTGAGTTCCTAATATGCAGGGTCAGAAACTAATAATTTTCATAGATGAGTGGGAGGTGGAGGAATTGGGAAAATGGATGAAAATCATCTTTTGAAAAAATTTAAATTTTATTATTTTATTTATATTCTGAAAAAAAATATGGACTTATTGATTTAATTAATTGGGAAGAAGTTCAGTGTCTGTCTCTGGAGAGCCAAAACATCATTTCCTTCCAGACAAACAAATAAAAAATCCCTGGTGTTGTGAATATTATAGGCTCCTCTCATAAATAAAGACTTCCACCCCCTCCAATGCTCTACGTCCCTTCCTCCTCCCAATTAAAAAAACAAAAGCCTACCTCCAATTCTGACACTTTCATTAGGGGGAGGAGCTGGATTTAGGAACTTATTATTTCATCACTTACACTGAGACACTGGGAAAGATGCTTTACATTTGCTTACTGTAACTTGCAAAGTGCAAATATGTTTGTCCATACATTTTAAAAGCAGACATACTTATTGAGACTTAAAGAAAGTAGGTACTTTTTTTTTTTTTTAAGTACTGTACAACTTTTTCAAGTTACAGTTATTTCTCTATATTTTCTGGGTTTTGGCAGATGGTTAAGTATTTTCAACCCTTTATTTAGGGGGTTGAAACACAATCTTAACATGTCAATAATAAAAAACGTTTGAATATAGCTAATTCAGAAAATTTCAACAAAAAAAGCAACCAACTTTAAAATACTGTTTTATCTGCTTCAACACTGAGGTCACCTTGGCATACCTGCTTCCTCCAATTTCCCAAATACCTACTTACCAGGAAAACCTTCAAAAGTGATTCTGTCCCCAGGTACTGCCCCAGGTGGGGGAGCCAGAATTTCCACTTTTTCTGGGGAGCTGGCACACATCACCATTGCTTGGGATACTACTCCTCTCATCTTTGCAGGCTTCAAGTTACAAAGTAGTATTGCCATCCGATTCTGCATCTTGGGGAAGGAAAATAGAAAGATATGAATACTTAAATGCCACATGTTTTTCGGGACTCTAATTATTTCATAACAAAAGAATTACAATGAAGAGACCTTAACATGGACAAGAGAAGCATACAGCAGCAAATAGACTATTTTAATGCCTGGACACCAGTAACAAATAACATTTAAACCACTTAAGAGTTGGCCAGCGAATAATGGAGTAAATGCTGAATTGTGACACACTTATATGGAAATACAAAATGTGCATTTCACCCTCATTCCACCTTTAGTCAATCTAGATCACCACTCAGTCCACTTTCAATATTGCACTATTAACCAAACAATTTCCATGTAATAATAATAATACAAAAAAAACCCCAAAACCAAAAACCAACCAAAAAACCCCACTCTAAAAATTAGGCTAGTTCACAGATAAAAAATTCAAACTGTGTACTGGAAGCATACAGGTGTTTTACATAATTAGCTCACTTAAATCTTAAATTTTGTCTTATTTAACCCAAATGCTTTCAATTTTTTTAACCACTGAAAATGGTTGTATATACTGTGCACTATAATTTGTTAGAGCAAAACTGTAAAGCTAGGCCTCTTCCTTTGTTTATTTATTTTAATAAAAATTATAATAGTAAACCAGAGAAAACATACTTCTCTAGGGGAAACTGCCACACTTTAGCCTAGCAAACAAACCACATTTTCAGATGGAACAGAAATTAAACCCAGAACATTCTTAAGGGACAGACAGAAAGTAAGTAAGCCTTAATTCCCATAGTCCTGGTGCACATTAATATATCTGTATTTTTAGATTTCAGCCTTTATGCATTACAATATAAACTTTAAACAAAATGGCAGGATTAATACTTAATAAAACTCATATAATCAAGTATTCTGAATACTGCATATTTTCCAAGTAGAACATTTTAAAAACCAAAAATGTAAATGTCCAAAATGAAGCAGTTACAATGAAAAGTTATCTTGCATAAGTTTCAAGGCAGTCCACTGACTGAAAATTTCTTAAGTTATTGCTATGGATATATATCACCCAAAATACAAGAAATGGCTGTAAGATACCAGTGACTCTAAAATGCAAGTTCTAGACATTATCTAGCACTGAATAACAATTAGGAAATGGATATACAGAATAAAAGAGACAAGAGTTCTGCATTTGTTACTCAACTTTAGTTTTGACTAACTGGAAAAAATTCTAGACTTCAGAGCATTGCTTTTTTATTACAGATTATACAATCGACAAAACCAGACTGCATTAATACAGAAATGGAGATCATCATCAAACTAACAGGAAAGAAAAACCAAACTAGCATCACATCATTCCTTTCTCTCCAATCACAGTGGCCCAAATATGTATATATATTGCATGAGATTTGTGTATGAGAAGTTGATCACTATTACAAAATTAAGAAATATTTATCAACATTTAAAACATAGATATTATCCCATCTTTTACTAGGAATTATCTTCAAATGCTTTTGAAAAACTGCTTTAATACTAACACGTGCACTGATTTCACAAATAAATGGTAAGAAAAGCCAAAAGGTTAAATAAATATTTTTATAAAACAAGAGGAAAACCCACCCCAAGACAGTCAGCCAAACCCAGAACATTGCTATCTCAAGGCGGGGTTAGTTTTTTTTTTCCTTTTTATTATAAATAAATCAATTTTTAAACTGTCTTCAGATAAATGACAATTCCCTAAGGAGAGAGGAAAAAAAAACTAGACCTAAATAAATGCTTCCTAACAATGCAAAAGTTTTTAGGTGTTTTTTTTTTGTGGTGGTTTTTTTTTGTGGGTGTTTTTTTTTTTTTTTTTTTTAACTGGTTGTGCTAATTTCTATAGAAGGGACTTACTGGAATGTGTCCAGAAAACAGGGCTTCAATTACAATAGTAAACCCCTCTGCATTCATGCATAATAAGTGCAAAAAAAATTGTTTACAAAATATCAGGGAATCTAATATTCGGGTATCATTCTACCCGCATTGCTCTTCACAGATCTTTTCACAGTAAATGATAAATAAAACTCTGAAATGTGTCTGCTACAAAGAGTCAGATTCAGTAATTCTACTGATGGTCACTCTCTGTAACCCTGTAAGTTAGAGAAACAAAAGAAACAAATCTAGCTTTCCAAAAGTAACTGTAAAAATAAATTGGGGAGTTTCCTCACAGATAAGATTGGGCAGAAATAAATAAAAAAAAAAAATAAATGGGGAGAAACCTGGCTCTCTTTCACAGTACATGAAAAGTTCTATCAGAAATACATGGTGTTACTGAAAAGCAGCTGAAGGTGACACAGATCAACAGTAAGTGTATGTTTCCTTCTGCATATGTGTTATTATCCAGTAAAGCAAATTTTCGTTAAGAACAATAGGGCAAATCTCTACGCTTAAAAGGACACAAACAGAAGCAAGCCTATGTCTACAGGGAACTGATTAAGGCTTTGGCATCTCAGGAGGTGTTTGATACATAAATGAGCTGAGAATAAGCAATGGAAATTCAAACGTTACCTCCTTGAAACAGTAACAACCTCCGCTGGCCTTCCAAAGAGCCAACCCTTTTGTTTCAGAAACCCAGTAAGTTCAAAACTGGCAACTCAACTAGTGAGAAACTGATGTAGTTTTAGTAAAAATGCTAGTTTTTACAGTTTCTATGGTTGGACACACAGCTACTTTACATTCAGAATAAAACAATGCATTTTCCCAACGTGCTGGTAGAATGAAGGTCGGGGGAGTAAAATAAAGCTAAGAAACTAAAATGAGGAAAAGTTAATCCTGAAGTTTACCATATAGAAAGCCCAAGACCTTATCCTTGAAGCACAAGTGTTAAATTGCCCTTTTTCTTAGGTAATCCTTGAAGTTACCTGTATAACTGACTATCAACTATCCCTCTATAACTCAAAATCAGATATGACAGACTGCAATAGCTAGTGAATAGTGTGTTGGTTTTAACTCATGATTGCTGTAAAACCAGAGTGAGTTGCAATGCCAACAGCAATAAAAAGCCCCCCTCAATTTATTACATGCTTGTCTGGATCTTAAGTTTGCCAGCAAACATAATTTACAAGTCACAAGCTTGGTTACATAGATATTTCTATTTGTTTCATATCTGAAAAGAAACACAGTGGCATTTAATATAGCCTTGAAGCATAATGCTACAAAAGCAGAAGAAAAAAATTGTTTACTTTAAGAAAGGTGTCTTATATTACACAGAATATGTCAATAAGTTTACAATTATGCTGTAGTCACCGTACTTTATAATTTATGGAAACATGTTTTCCCTGCAGACTAGACAAAGAAAATTGGAAGACGAAGAGTATGTATAACGAATATAATTACCATTCTAAGAAAAAGAAATATGAATTCCAGTACCATTTGTTAATTCCTGGGTGGAAAACACCCTTAAACAATGATCTAGAAAGAAAAAAGATGAAGCCATCTAAGTAGAAGGAAAAAGTTTCTGCTATAAAAATACAGTTCATAACAGATATAGCTGTAATGTATCCTCTCACAAGGAATGGTTGTAGGATAGTGTTTCTGGAGGCTGATTGGTGGCCTCTTCTCTTCTTGCTGAGTTTAAGACATATGCCGTGTATTCTTGTCCTTCCCTTCTGATCACTGACATGAGGATCTCTCAGGTTAAAGAGGATTTCAAGAGGTAAAAAAGACACTTGAGAATTGTCTGAATTTCAAGAATGATTGCCTGAGACAGGTATTGATGCTAGGAGCAGAGATCCGCTTCAAAAAGCCAAACGCAGTGGCAGAAAAGCTGTCAAGTCCTGCTGACATTTCAGAATATTCTCCAATTGTTCCCAACTGCTGCTGAAGGAGCTCAGCATTGGCATGGTCCACCTTATGCTTCAGTTCCATATCCCTGTTGCTGATGACATATCTATCTATCTATCCCTGAGGGTACAACTTTGGACTTGGCTTCACCACCATCAGTGGTGCACAAAACCACAATGTACCACATAAAGTGGGCATACAGTAAGTTTTCACACCCATAAATAACTTGGACTGCATACTGAAATGTTAATGACGATACACATTGTGCTTCCTAACCAAAAGTAAAATCAGATGATACAAATACTACAGCCTCAAACACTGCTAAATTACCACATCAAACACTGCAGTCATAACTAGCTGAATTTTTGGTGAATTATGTCTACAGTACTTGATCTGATGTATACATTTTTATTTAAATATATGGCAGTAGTCACATGCCAAGCCTTCACATTTTTGAATGTTTAAAAAAAAAAAAAAACAACAAAAAACCCCCACCAAAAGATGGAAGCTTGCCCCTAAGAAATTACTTTCTAATAGAGACTTGTCAAACCAAAACCAGACACACAAACTAACTGTTCCCAAAGATGTGCAAGAATGATCCCTAATTCTCTGTTAATGAGTACTTTGGATTTTTTTTTCCAGACAGAAAGAAGGTTAAAGAGAAAAGACTGTTACTGCTGCTGCATTCTATACACTTATGTTCATAAGTTTATTTAGAAAGGCTTTTGAGATGTTTTTTCTACATGCTTTTGAGAGCAGACTGCTAAAAATGAGCAATTTGAATTTTTGCCCACTGCAAATCCAGTAACTGGACACTATCAGGTGATCAGTGGGGAACAGTTATTGTATTCAGTAATTTTTTTCAGTTCAGTAACTTTCTGTATCATAAAAACAACAATCACAATTGTAATTGCCTCCTACATTTGCAGTCTTACCATGGGGACAGGGCGTGAAAAGGGATTGAAAAGGCATTTGAGAAAATGTAGCTTTTCCACACTAAGATCAATTCCTTCATGACCCATTTTGCAGTTGCTCTATACAACATTGTTTTAATTGCCAAGCTTGCATCTGAATTTAGAAGCAGACTTGAGTCAATTCCTCCCTTCCACTAACCCTATAGAAGAGGTGTGAAAGGAAAATGTAATCTTGAAGTCTTAGGTCGTTCCCAGGACATACATAAATCATGCATGTCAAACATAAAAGTGTATCAACTAAAAAAAGTGCAGAGGCAGACTTTACCCTGGACAAGGAAGTAAAAATACACATTTTGTATTTCACTTTTGTTTAAGCCACTCACTCCCAGCTAAGTTAAATTTACATGATCTTTGCTTTACTCCATGCCAAACGCTTCAATGGGCTATAAAGAGAGCTAGAAGACAAAGGTTACAAAAGTTTGGATGATAGCAAAAAAGTTATTATGGGTTCTCTACTACACACTAGGAAACCTAAAGGAAGAGTCACATCTTTTTGGCTTAGGAGCTCACTGTGTACCAATGGCATCACAAAGGAGTCAGAATAAGATCCCAGGACAGGAGCACTGCAAGCAGAACGGAACTGATTTGGGGTAAGGGTACTTCTCCATTTTCTAGTAAATGTTGTCAAGCATTACTTCCATTTGCATTTTATTTTTGTTTTCATGACTGTAGAAATCTTTTAGCAAAATGAAAACACATCCTATAAACAGATGAAGGCTTTAAGATAGCTTTTCCTTTCCTATCACTAAACAATTTTGTCAATACCTGATCCAGAGGAACATGTTTCACTAAACCGCTGACAACAGTCCTTGGGCTTGCTTCACCAACATCCACTTCTTCAACATACAGAGAGTCTGCATCCGGATGCTTTTCAGCAGTAATAATGCAGCCAACACGAAGATCCAGACGAGAAACATCTACAGGTTTTGCATCAATACTTGCAGCAGCTGGCTGCTGTTTCTTCTCCTTCTTTTCACCTATTAAAGAAAGTTTAGTTCATGAAATAAACATTAAAAAAGCATAAATAACGTATATGACTATTGCAAGGGAAAAGTGAGATACAATCTCAGAAATAAGTGTAAATCCAGTGTAAAACACAAAAGAGTAAAGAGTTAGCACCTCTGCTACTAGTTTCCAGTGGAGAATCATCATACACACTCCAATTTAGATTGCTACTACAAGTAATTACCACCTTAGAGGTATTTTGTTTGTAAAGGGAAGTCATCCTGAACTTCAACTGTAGCAAACATGTCTGTAGGTGACACATACACTCTGCCAAAGGCCACATCAATAAGCCTCATAGTACTGTTTTAATAATTAGCAATTACCAGTAAGTCTTACCATGGTGTTTCACCAGCAAAGGGAAACCAGACTATCACAAGTCACCAGGTTACTAGAGCCTAACAACAGGTCCTAACTGTGGACAATGCTAACTCACTGCAACTGCACTGTTACAGTTGCAAAGCAACCCTTCAAGATGACCTTAGCTAATATCCTTTACTTCCCGAATATACTAGTGTGTGAAAATGCTCATGGCTTACAAGGTTCCACTGATGCGGAGTCTTTATCCCACGCCATGCAAAGGTTTATCATCACCCATACATACTGCATAGTATAAAACAGCAGTGAAGCAACACTCCCATACTCAGCTGCTTATTTAGATATTCCTTTCAAGATGAGCAAGTTACATCCAATTCGTATATAAGACTGTCCTGTTTAAAAGACATTCAAGATTTGTTTAACAGCTACAATATCTGGGGGATTAAGAAATGTCTAAAGTGTTTACTTAACATGAGCATATTCTCTTATTCTTTCATCCGTGATAGCTTACATATTACTGTAAACTAACCTCCCTTCTTCAGGGAGCAAAAAAGGAAAAGTGGCTACAGCATGAAATTTGATTAATTTATCATTGCTCTAGTACAGGGTTGAAATGAAATAATAGATTCAATAATAAAAAGGCAGTATTTTTTTTTAACTTAAGCAATAGCTCTCCAAAAATATTTCATTTCATATATGATGAATATGATGAATAAAAAGCTCTAGTGTTTATGACTTATCATTAGACTGTAATCTATTTACAATTAGGTTAATAAAACCAGGGATATATAAAATAATTGAAGAGAAACTGAAGAAAAACCCCACCAGAAGAGTTAATATTTAATACCTAAGATCATTTCAAAGACCTGCCATCTTTATCCTTGGTATCATTCCTCACTGTTCTCCACTTCATGACATTTCTCTACAACAGTCTGGAGCCAAAAAATCAGCTTCTAGCACCCTATTTATTTCACTTTAAAGAAATTAAGTCTGTCACCAAATAAGGAAAAAGCTTTGCTGTGTACGTGTCTGTATACAGCATATATACAGATGCACAGAAAACACCCATTTCAATGCTGCAATCCAAGGAGATAACTGCACTCCTCTGGCCTATGTCAGAGTCAGCCCAGAATCAATATTCAGAGAAGCGTCACAGATGAAGTTTGCAAGAAGCGTAACAAAGAGTATGGGAATAACCAGAAAGGAAACAGATGAGATAGGTGACAGAAAGCAAAGAGATTTGAGATATTCCATAATTTTGTCAATTTCAAGACTAAAAAAAAATTTTTACATATTTGTTACTTTGATTGTTAAATACTATACCTACAGTAGATGTTGAACTCCACAGAAATAGCCTGTTCAGGGCTTCTATTTAATGTTCATGCTATATTTCACCTTTTTCCAAATAGAGTCACTGGAAGGAAAAAGTCAAATAGATTGCTTTCCAAATTTAAGCTACTTACACAAGATGAGGGGAAACACAGTACAAGAAAGTTTTATTTTTCCTTACCAACCAAATATGTGCTCTGTAGCCACTGAATACTTGAAGAAAACAGTTAATTGCCTGATATGACATGTGGCCTCTGCTTTTATATTTACAGCTCTGTGGAATACTGATATGTCAAAGGCTGCAGTGTATCAAAAAATATGAAGTAGCTTATAAGCCTGCATACAGCTTACCAGAAAAATCAAAGAGATACAGTGCCCTATCAGCACAGTATCCAAACTCTGAAAAGCTGTACAAATCAATTCAGAGCAAATTATTATTAATTTGCATAAAAAAATGATTGTAAAACATGAGTTCAAGTTACAAGATAGACACTTGTACTTTTGTGCAAGTGTAAAAGACACATCCTTCTTTTCCTATTAAGACAGTTTGTTAAACAGAAGTCAATACAGACAGCTAAAAAAGAAAAACGGGAGGAAAGGTGTTAGGAAACCTACATACCCTTCTCCTACATTTCCTCCCTGTTGCCAAAACCAGATTATGCTATCTGCCTATGTCCTTTACCCAGCACTTCCTCTTAGCCACACAATTCTACCAGTGTTGACATGGATGTATCTGATCGATTCTGATGGAACCTTACTGGCTGTAAGAATTTTCCAGAAAAAAAAAAAAGCAAAAAAAAAAAGCAGCATACTTAGAGGATGCAGAAAACTGCAATTTAGCACTCTTCCTTTAGTACTATGTTATGCTGTTATTGCTTGCAAGGTATTTTGCTGAGCTGGTCTTTGCCTTTTGCTCGCACTGTTTCCATGGGGGGGAGGGAGGAGGGCAGGAATCTAACTAAGCCTCAGAACAGAAAGCCATCCAATCTCCCAAAAAAACTTCTCTAAACTTTGTGTCATCCTCCTCCCTGCCCCACTTTTTTTTTTTCTTTTTCCCCCTCTCTCCTTCTGTGTGTGTATTTTGGTTTTGCTTTTTTTCTGTGTGGGGTTTTGGGGCTTTGGGGAGGGTTGTTGTTGTTGTTTGTTTGTTTTTTAAATAAGGGAGTTCAGTCACATTAAAAGAAATTTGGCATGTATCCCATTTAAGTAAGAATCGGTAGCTTACTTGATGGCCTTCATTAGGTTCAAGTACTTCCAAGATTTTAAGAGCTAGCACATGATTCTTCCTACTGTGGCTGTACAAACCATTTTCTTCTGTGCCCAAAATGATGTAAAAGCACTTACATAAATTAAATGCCTTAACTGTCTATCTCTATCAGAGCTAAGAAAACTGAAGTACCTTTTTTTTCTACTTTTTCATTCTTTTTCTTTTCTTCATCTTCACCTTTAATTTGATCCTTGGAACCAGGAGATGATGCAACTGTTGTAGGCTGTGGAACATCATCTGAAAACGAAGCTGTAGAAATGCTTGTACCAGGAGGAACTGCGATCTGTTTTACTAAAATCAAAACCACTGAAGTTAGAAGGGGTACCAGAACTTTGAAAACTATGACATTTTAAGTTTCCAACATAAATGAAAAAGTAGAGAAAACTGAAAATTTTGCTTAAAATACATAAACCCCAACTGCTGAGTAGTGAAGCACAACATTACAAATCACATCTCAGAACTCAATCTACATACGATTATTCTGATCAGTTAAGAACAATGTCTTTCACTACACATTTTTTACATGGGAAAAAGTGCTAAACAGAAAAAAACATATAGAGCTAATGCCACTTCTTTTTGTAGTTCATTTCAACATCTAGTTATCTTTGCTACTAACTCCTTATTTCTCATTTGTGTTTGTCTAGTTTCAGTTTCAGGCTACTAGCTTGTCATACTGGAGACTATTCCGTAATTTGCTACACATACAATCATTTTTATGTTGTAGTCAGATCATTCCTCAACTTTTTTTTCTGATTAAAGAAACTGAGCCCGAATAATCACATTCTAAGAAGTTACCTGCAGCCCTAAAACGATCTGTTGATTCCTCCCTCACTCCCCTTCCCTAAATTCTCCATGATACCTTCACATTTCTTTTTAAACTGCTGATATAGAATTCTGGACATCATCTCACTATCAATCTTATCAGATGGAAGCATAAGAATCACCTCACATATATATTCTGCTCTTCAAGAATCATATTAAGGCTTTTTACAAAATCATTGTACTGGGTAAGCATCATCGGTGTGCTAGGCAGTATCATCCAGGCTCCCTTTCCCAAGAAAGGTTAGACCAGATCATCTTTTAAGGTCTCTTTCAAACTGGACTGTTCTATGATTAATTACTGTTTGACAAATCCTTCTAGTGTCACTATTATACAGTTCTCCATTCTGCATACATACTTCTTTTTACACTTCAGACATTTATTAACTTCCTGAAGAACTGCACCATGTTTGTTGATACCCGCTCTCTTTAACACTGAAATAATTTGCACAAATTGTGTTCTTATAAACATTTTTTTAAAATCATTTGAATCTGAGATTTATTGTACCAACAACCACTTGCTTGCTCTTTTGCTTGCTAATTGTGGGAAGACTATTTGTTTTTCAGATTTTCAAAGAAATATATCAAGTGATATTTTTAAAGTTCTGTGTCCATCTAATTTCTGTTCTCAACTACTTAATACTGTCAAAGCTAAGATACACTAATTTACTTCAAAAGGACAGATCTTAATTTAGTCCTACTACCTTTTAGATAAACTAGCTAATATAGGAAGATGCATGTCAAGCTACATATTAATTTCCTAGTCCTTTCTCATCTTGGAAAAAATAATATACCTTGAGACTTGTCTCTCAAGCACACCAGAGATTCTGAAATATCCTATGCCTGTCAAGAATTGCTGCAGACTAACAGACAATGGAGAAATACAAACTAATAGTTTTGTTTAGTACATAAAAGGGCTTTATTCATGCCCAAAGGAGAAAAAGAATTCCCTCCATTTAGAAAATGCTAGTCTTTTTGAAGACTGAAGATGTTTTACCAGTAAAGCATTCAGTGTGGTTGAATGCTAGCATCCAGCTACAGTGGCTACTATCTCACCCAATTTACAATACTGACAGCATGGGTAAAAATAATAATAGCTGTTGAGGGCTGAGAGGCTTTCTTTGGAAATAATTTTAAAGAAGACACGCTGGATCTGAAACACTCCAGTTTTGGTTTCTACTCCTTTCTTTTTTAACATGAATTATATAATGATGGTGTGAGCTGAACAGAGCTATACAGAGGAGTGTGAAGAAGGAAAAACAGGGCAATGAAAGGCTGGTTCTTACTAAACCATGGAATCAAAAATTCAAAACACATTGTTTCTAATTTTACATTACCACAGATTTTCTACTAAGTCACTGCCCATCTGTACTTTGAACTACGGCTTGATTTTCCATAGGGATTTTTCAGTCACGCGAGATTAAATAGTCAAGAGTATCAAGAAGTGTTAGACATTCAGCAGTTTCTAAGGTATTATAATGAGTCATTATCATCAGTCAAATTCAAGGCTTATTATGAAAGGCACTACACAAAAACATACAAAGAACTAGTTCCATGCCTGATTAAGATTTGGCATATGTACCTGTTAGGCTTGAAGCTTACTAAAATGTTGGAATTAAGTAACTTGTCATAGGCATGGAATTTAGGAAAATCCAGAATTTGTAAGAAATGCCATGAAGTCACATACAGAAAGATAAAAATCAAGAAGAATTAAGATAGTATAAAATATGATCAAAACTAACTAGATCTATGTTGTATGAGGATAGGACTTTTTTCCCACCTCCATTTCTAATTTCTGCTTGAATCAGCTCCTGTTTCAGCCCTTCAATTTCTTTCTTCAGTTTAGCATTTTCCACACGGAGTTTCTTCTCTTCTCGGAGAGATGCCTGCAAGACTAGAGTTGACACAATATTAAAACTGACAAGTTTCAATAATTAGCATTCATCACTTGGCAAACAGAGGTTTTGTTTTTAAAGAAAAGTGAAACGTGGCGAGCCAAACACCAAAAAAGTGGAAACTTTCAGGGAGTGTATCATCAGAAGTATTTTGGAATAATTTTTTTGTTGATATAGCCATTTTTTTACAATATTTATATACTCAAGTTGCCTCTCAACATACTAGCTTCTCAGCCCCCCAAATAGACTCACAAGAAAAAATTCCAAGAGACCTATTAGAAAAAGTTTGAACACAGCTGTAATACCGAGGACCTTAATTCACTGATACTGATATGTACAAAGTATCAAAGTTGAAGCTATGATACTCTTGAGAGAATCCCATAGTGGTGAAAAAGCAGTAACACATTCAGCCAAATGCATAGTCTTGTATTCTTCCCGACTCCCTTTCAACCCCCAAATGGAATAGTGTCCTATCAAATTTCCATAATCCATTTGTGTCATTAATCCTTTGTCATTCAAGCCTTTTCTATTTCAGAATAAGCAGCTCCAAAAAACCCCACAAACCACAAGACAGTGAAGCAGTGCTACAATTACAAGCTTTATCTTAGAAAACTTGTAACACACTTAAAAGGCTGACAGCACCAATGAAGTTGTCCATGTTCTCAATTTTTCCTATGAGCATTTAATGTTAACCATCTGGTTAACAAGTTTATCATAAGATAGGTAATTCCTTACTAGCTTTCTCCTTGAGCAGAGCAACTTGTTGCTTGAGGTATTCAATAACTTGATCGGCCTCTGCACCCTTCTGCTCCAGTCTGTTCAGCACTACATTGTTGGCTGCCATCTTTACCAAGAAACGGGCTAAAAACCTAGACAAATAATAGACAGTCTAAAATTAATAACTTTTTAATGTAGTAATGCTACCATTTCTTACCACATGAAGCAGTTCTAAAATCAGTTGCTGAATAAGAAAATTTGTTAAGTGAACAAGCTGGGCTCTCACCTCCTAATGCAAAGCCCAAACAAAAAGCAACATTAAACAGAACTTGATGTTTGACAGCTGCTTTCAAGTATTTCAGAAGAAAGGCTATTCTTCTTCCCAGCTGCAGAAAACATGTTCTTCCTTCAAGAAACAGAAAGAATTCTACCTTCTCAGAACGAAAGGTCTTTATAAATCAGAAAAAAAAAAAAGAAATAAAAGGGAAAAGGTTGGGCAGGAGAACACTGTGTCCTGGTTTTAGCTGAAAAATTTATTAAGCGTATGCAGAATTTTATTGAAACTAAGAAAATAGAAACATCGCATGAAAATTTCCAAACTTTTCTAATAAATTTATTCAGAATATACTGAATAATTCATACACTATGGTTGTACATACATGAAGAATTTACTGTTATTTTACTTTTAAGCAGAATTCATCAGTACTTTTACTCATCTCAGATTAATACAACTTTTATTGCAAGTTTACACCTTCACAGTTATTTTAGCAATGATTTCAATTGTCTTATTTTGTTTCCATTGAAATGGAAGGCCAGGCACACAGGTAACATTAAAGAAGCAGGAAACACAAAAGACCAGTAAGGGTAAGAGCACAAATAAATGCATTTAATCTTCTTTTAGGATGTTCAAATCCTTTTACTGGGGTTCTCCTATGTTGCAGAAACTAGCTATGCCTTGTGTGCAGCCCTTATTTCTTGAAAGCTACCAAATTTGGCCTGCTTCTGACTCTGCAACATCTGTGTGTGACCATAAAAGCTCAAATAGTAGCAACAGAATGATGAAATACAGTCACTCCTATCTGCAGCAGATAGCGCTTTTACCCTCCCACTCAGTATATAGATGAAGAAAGAATCTGTACTAACAGTTGCCTCATCTGTAAATCAAGAAAACTGATTATAGGCAAGAAGAAAAGAGGCCTTGCAGATCTTCACAAGCAACAGTGATGCAATTCCTGTGAATTTGCCCATCAACTGCAACAAAGGGAAGAACTGGTAAGAAAATAACAATCCACATACGTGCATTGGCTCCTCAGCTTTATCAGAGCCCCAAAATGCCTTTTCTCATATCAAATTGGCAGAAAACTTCCCATTTTATTGCAAGATTATTCTGACACTATGACCTAAGTCTGTTTATAACATACGAATATTCTCTGTTGGGATTTGAAACAAAAACCATGATGGAGACAAAATACATTAAGAAATAACTGAAAGGTGAACAAATACAATCACGCTCATGCCAGTGTCAACATACCACCTTTGCTGCACTCTCAGTATCAACTTACATTTGATATCTGATCTTCTATTACAAAGAAATCATATATATTTATTTATATATATAAAAATATATTTTTTTTTAAAAAAAGAGCAAAAGACAATGAATCAGGAATAGTGTAATTAAAAGTTTTCAAAGTAAAATTCACAAAGCCAGAGAGATACAGTACTCAGATGATGCATGGGGTATATTACTCCTGCAAAAGTAAAGAATGAACCCACATCTTGCCGTCTTTGCAATCTAATACAACAGAAATCTGTTTTACATGCACAGTATCACTTAAAGATGCAAAAGCATTACTGCCATCACACCTTCCACTCATCCACAAAAGATTTTTCTTTTAAAAGAAAGAAACTCTCACAGAGAGAAGAGCAGTAAAATCATCTCTCCAGGACAAGTGAAGTAATCTTGAAGTAATTCAAATTCATCTCTGCTAATAAGAAAATAATTCTTTTTTGATGTGCAGTCTGAAAACAGAGGAGTTCAAAAAGGAAAACAGTGATTCCAATAAGTTACTGATTTAGATGTCAAATGGAAATAGACATAAAACTATTATGGCACAACACAGCATAATACAAAGCGTGGGGTATTACTGTCTGCATACCAGTAAGATTTCTTGCAAGCTACATATTCTCTCAGGAGAACACAATACTAACAGTGGAAACTTTGCCAACAACAGCAGAAATGCTACTAAAACTTCAAAGTGAATAGAATTGGTACATTTTATAGGTTTTAGCCAAGTTGGCTAATGAACTGAAGATCTGGAAATGAAGTTACATGATTACAATGGGTAGACATTTTCCCACTTGTCAAATAAATTTCTGTAAACCTAGTATTATAACAATAACACAAAGGAATAGGTATTTCCGATACTAATATAAAGAGCCAACAGGCTGAAATGAACTGCTGCACAGGCACAGGAACCCATACAGCAGAGGGATAAAACTGTATCTAAAAAGGGCACATAACTTTTAAGATCCACCCTGTATTATAAAACACCAACACATTAAAACATTACCACTGCAACAATCAAAGGTTACAGTCAATGATTTTTTTGGATTTTTTTTAAACCTATTTCCTTTGCCCTCTATTACCCTGACACCCCCCCACTCCACACCCCCCTCCAAACAACCAACTCCTATTGGTGATACACAAACTAAGAAGAGGAAAGAAAACCAGGAATAATATAGCTTAAAAACCAGATTCGTATCTTATTACAGATACATTTTCTGCAAAACAGGTCAGAATGTTCCAGGGGCCAAGTGAAAGTAAAATCACATCATACAATTCTGCCTAACAAGCTGCTTTCCCTTCAAACAAAAAATACTTTTGAAACAAGTAAGGAGTAGCTATATTCAGACCTTCTGAAAAGGGTAACCTCCTGAAGTTACCTAGTTGCTCAGCTAAGGGAAACTGCTTAATCTCAGACCTCCGAGACTACTTTGCTACCTGCAAGACAATCAGAACTGCTCCAAAAACCACTTGCTCCACTATAATGGAACACAATCTTCAGATGAAAGACTCATGTCCTGCAGTTATTCATGAAGTTACATATCAAGACATAGAAGTTGTTTAACTGCTGATTAAGAGTTGCCTATCTTTTTTTAAAGAGAAAGCACTGCCTCCTGTGGTCCTCTGAGTAGCTGCTGTATACTCACAGGAGAAAACAGGCATTATTCTACTTTGTTTCTCAAGAACATGTAATGTGAAAGGGTCCCCAAAGTGGCAAACTCTCTATAATAAATCAAGATTTCTCATATAGTACAAATTACCCCAAAATTTCAACATTTTACCAATATTGGTTTATCGACATTGGCCTTGACCTTAGAATGTATCCAGATCAAAAAGTGAATACACCAAGAAGATGCTAAAAACATAAGCCTTGTTGTAGCTTACTCTTCAATATTAATATTCTCTGTTTTTAAAAGCAAGAAAAAGCCAAAAAACCCATAAAATTGATGACAAGATTTAAACCTTAAACTCTAAAAATTGGTTTTGGAATCTATCCATAGTCCGAACATGGAACCAATTATTTTTCACTATTGGAAAAGCAATCATTTAACCAAAAAACCAGAAATTGGAAGCCATCTGATTCCCCAAACCTAAAATAATTAGCTCTAAGTATTCCTTTTTCCAGCTGGAGGTTCAAAAAAGCTCAGCACTTCGAAGCTCTCAGCTTTTTCTTGCAATGCTTTGTTAATGTCAACACACACGATTACTAACTGTACGAGATCTAACCTGCAGGCTGCTTAGTAAGATTTACTGCCTACGGATCAACATGCACTCCATCTATGTATCAAGTACATCTACGACAGTGATGCTGCTTTATTTCAGCATTTTCAATTCAGTGAAGTTTTATGCTGCTCTGTTAGGTGACAGGCATCTTATTTCTTTTTCTCCTTCTTTCCCACAGGCCTTCACGCAACACAACCAAATGCCATGCATGCTTCAGTTGGTCACCCTGACCATGTGTTGAGACAAAAAGTTGCTGAATTTTGTCTCAAATGATGTAGACCAAAACAAAATCACCACAACTGCCTGCTTCTCCTCTGTTCTTCTCCCACACACACACTAACTCATCCACAGTAAGAGGGTAAACTTTCACAGCTCACCACACCTAGGCAGCATTCTTCATTGCACGGCTGCTTCGCTATGACCCATCAATGCTCTTCGCCTTGTACTAGCTATGGAGGAATCAAGTATTTCTACAGCAAAGCCAATCCTACTGATCTTTAGCAAAGAACAGACAACAATCACAAGATGGCCCAGATAGCATAAACATATGCCTTACAGAGAATGCCATGTTTATGAATAGCTGCCAACCAAGACCTAAGATCAGGCAAGGAGCCACTACAGGAGAAAATAAGTGTCTGCAAAAAGACACATTTGCTTTTCAATTGAGATGCTCTGTTCAAATTAAAAGTTTATCATTACGAAGCAGAGACAGTGGGATCAGCCTTATTCTAAAAGTTATCAACAACACAAGGGCAATTTCTCCAATGCTAAATAAAGTCAATTAATTTAAATTATAGAAAAATATTTAATGGCAATTTCTCTTTCTAAGCTTTTGGTCTTAAGTCTCAAGCAGCCTTTAAATTAAATTCCTTTTCTTCTTCTGCGAGATGTCTCAAGACGCTTTGTTGTGGCCAACTTGTATAGCAAAGTATTCTAGTTCCTGTGAAAGACAGAAAATATCAACAATCACTTTGTTTCTGCAAGAAGTGTGTTCAAAGACTTCTTTCTATCTGAGCATCTCCTTTGAGTATGGCCGTTTCTGGCAGACAATCTTACAAAACCCCATAAATATAACAGAAAGTGCCAGCTGTTTGCCAGATTCTGCTTTCCTGTGCTTTGCACTTCTGTGAACAGTCAGGACACAGTGAATCAGCTTTAAGAATCTCACATCACACCTTTTTATTCTGTAAAGTAAGGTACAGTAATGAGCAGATCAAAACAGAAGAAAAAAAAAAAAAAAAAGGGGCACTATGTTACCTTTTCCTAAACCAAAGTATCAGTGCAACTAGGAAACTGTTGTAACTTGTCCCATCTCCTTTCTCAGAGAAGCAGGATTCATACTTTTAAAAAAATCAATTCTCTCTT